GTCGTGTGTGGTGTTGGCCATGGAATACTGAGCGTTCTTACGAATTGTTTTTGGGAGCATAGGGGGGGGGATTATGTAGATGGATTACGAGCGCTTCCGCTGAGGCCAAAAAGCGACTCGTAATCCCCTTAGATCGGCCGGTGCGAACCAAGTAGAGGGGTCGAAACGCCTCGGTCACATATTACGTGGTTCGTTTCCACCAGGTGTGAAACGATTGAGCTGTTAATGGTCCTAATTACTCCACTGTTCAACCAGACCGGGTGATGCTCACGGACTCGCTCAGATAAACGTCTGCTCGTACGGTCAATGTACCTTGTCCCACAGGAACAGGTAAATGGGTATACACAGAAGGAGACAGCAGAAACAGGCAATTTATCTATGAGTTGAAAGCGCAGAAGTGGCCTGGAGATGAACATAATACGCAGGTTAGCCGCGGGGAATGCATTTTCTACAACTGTACAGAGCTTACGTGTCATCATATCGGCAGTCGTGTCGTCTAGCCGTCACCGTAACTTGCCCCCCACCCCATCCCCCCAAGGTCACGTGGAAATCTTGACGATGTCGGCGATTACGACCACATTTGTGTCCTGCCATTAGATCTCTGCCAGCTTACTGTTGCTGTTTGTGTTGTTCAGTCACGTGACTTTTTCTGCCGTCCTAACCACAGAAATCTCACGCGACTAATGTAATGCTCATCACAGAATATTCTTCACACAGAGCCGGGCTTGTTGAAAAGCACATTGTCTTCCGTGAATGTCCTAAGACGTTGGAATAATGTCTGATATGTGCAAGCGAATAGCAAAATGGTTTCGAAGATAGTGGACTAGGCTTTGCTACTGTGAGAGGTTTGCCCTACGCGTTGAATATGTGCACCAGATATATCCATAACATCTATGTTTGGTTGTAGCGTCCGTTCACTAGTCGGAAATTCATCGAACTATTCGCATTGAATTCAAAAGTGGGTATTATGTTTCTTCAGGAGATGTGGCTACATTGTCATGATTCATGAATATATCAAGATAAATAATCCCTCTTCTATTGTAGATACGAAAGCTGAACTGTGAAACCAAATATACTCATTTTTAACCGGTATTGAGCACTCGGCAGTAGCCGCCTAACCGAAACCGGGGTGTTGGTGATCGAGCGGTTTAATTTGCTGGCACTGTCTTGCTCTGAACCCTCGAGTTCATCGTTCGTACCCCACCACTGTCACCCAACTGTGCCTTCGTCCGTATCAACACCATACGTAATCTAGCGGAGCCTTATGTGGTTCGCCATCTCGATTCCCCGGACCTAGTTTGCCGGTTCCCTTGCATAATCAGTAGATCCTCTTGACCGTGGAGCTTTATCCTTTCTAATGTTCATCACACTATAATGTATGAGGCTGGCGCGTATCTGTCGTTGAATCAAGAACTGAACCCGGATTTTAATGTACTCTGACTTAAACCGATGCGACAGGCGGGCTGGTGAGTTCTGTTAAGATTTTCTCCGGAAAAGTTTTGCACTCTTGAGGATGCTGGGAAATTACTGATTCGATTAACGTGGTGCAAGCTAAGAAGAATCTAAATACTGTTTGGAAGTCCCTAACTAGTACGCGGATGCAGATTACCGAAGGGTTTGACATGCGCTGATCATTTTTACCATAGATGAAGGGATGGACGATGATATGGATATTATATTAATGGACATTTCTCGCGAGAAAGGTTTTCGAAAACTGTTAATGCAAGTAAACCACCGGATATGAAAGGCTCTTGCATCCGACCAGGATGTTATCTACCAATCAAATTGTTATCTTTATGGGATTCCACTTAATGATCAACTTTTCGTGTTTGCCGGCTGTACTGTGATAGTGATATGCTTCCGGATCTATTTAACAGGAGATTCTTAATTTAAATTCAGCAGCTCGAATCATGCCAGTTCCCAAGTCGACGATCGCAAGTGGTACTATTATTAATGAACCTAAATTTGATTTGATTCCGATTGCAATCATGAATAATGAATGCGTCGTGTTCAGCTCACCTATGAACTCAATCAATAATTGTGGCACGAAACATTTCATATTCCACTGATGCACAGTTCTTTGTCCCAGTTCATTTTCCTCATCCAGTCCACTTTAGTGCGCACTTGTTACCGCTCGTTCTCTCCCTATGTCATGTCTTCCAATCTCCACCTATGCAGGTGGTCGAGCCAGACGGTACTATCCGCGAGCTGACGCGTGGTGATGCATTCGGTGTACGGTTGGATCGACCGGACCGTGTTCATCGAGGCACAATGCGTACAGTGACCGAGGATTGTCAGTTTGTCTGGGTTCCTCAGGCCGACTATATGCAAATTATGAGTCGCGAAGGTGAGGCGGAAATTCCCGAACTGGAAGAGGGTGGTCGTGTGGTCTTAGTCTATGAGACATTGGATCCCAGTGGCGGAACAGCCGTGATCCCCAGTCGATCATCGACCTCGACAAAACCAACCACGGGTATTCAGCCCCGGGTGGTAACCAAGGTATGCGAATTTAATTCTCTTATCACACCCTATTGCTGGTAACGATGTGCGAAGTTTTCTTCTCATATATCGTTCCCTCCCACCCCTCTGCTTCCCCGATTTGGTCGTGGTCATCTAACTCTCTCTGTCTTTCGGACCGAACACAAATCATCGCGCGGTTATATAAATATTCGATTTGAATTTAAATAGAATGTCATTGACAGTCAGCCAACTGTTGCATATATAATTAATTCGCCCTCGGGCTGTATCTCTGTGTTTGAATTAGGTGGGGCGGAGGGATAGATGCTGACACACCGAACGTTCTCTCTCCCTTAGATACCCAACAAGTCGGCTTTCTGTTAGTCACCCGTTTTGATTGCACATAAGCACACAGTTTCATCTTCCAAACCGTCGTGCTTGCCTCCCTCAATTCGAGCTTTACTAGAATCATTCGACCAGTTGTAATTTATTTACGGGATTGTTTGTGTGGGATTTGTTTTAAGCAGATTGCCCCCCCCCCCTCCCC